CACACTATTGGTAAGTAGGTAGTGTCTCTACCCTGAGCCAGAAATATGGGAAATAAACTGTCTATTTCTTACCCTTTACCTCACCCAGGGGAGTCATGTCTAAATTATGTTACTAGAGTTGGAGCACAAGGAGGATTTCTTACTATCCCCTTTGTGTCAAATGTAGCAGGATGGACAGAGACTATGAAGTCATCTGATCCTTTTCCCAGGTGTGGGGCTAATGATGATTTCCATATGAATATGATTCGAGGATTGTGTTTGGGAGATAGGAAGTCATGGCCGTGGTATGGTCCTGATCCAGATTGGGATAAGGAATATATGAAAGCAGGAGGTGAAAATTGGTTGCAGATAGCCCCTCACTGGTTTCCTTGTAGTATAACAGGAAAGGTTTTAAAGGGAGCTAAGAAACACCTGGCTAAGAGAAAGGGAACTGTTGATAGTAATACCATTCACTTTCCCATAGGAGCCCCTCCTGAGAATCTATATTCATCACCAATTGTGCCCCCTACCCAGTCAGCCCCCGGCCATGCCCAACCACAACCCCCACCTCCCTATAAAGCAATGTATCCTGCTTTACCTAATGCCCCCTCAGAAGATGATATAGAGGATGTTTGTATTGCTGCAACTGTTAATTCAAAATCACAGCAATTACAGCAATTACAGGAATCATCATCTATACCAGATTCTGATATAGAATATCCACCGTCACCTCCCGGTCCAATTAAACTAACAGTACAGACGGGAATTAAACTTAAAAGTGGCAAGATGTTAAAAACATATGTACATAAACAAGATGATGATGATGTAGAGATGCCAGAATTAGAAGGTGCTGATCTTACTGCCCCATTCATGACTGTTGGTAATCAGTTAATAGTGAAACCTATTAATCCTGGAGTACTCAAGGACATTATTCAAGGTGCCCCAAACCCCCGTACTAATCCCTCTGCATGCCTAATGTATTTGAAAAGAATGTGCTTAGGACAGAACATGACACAGATAGATATACAGTTAATTATAAATGGAATATTAGGGTATGATTCAGATTCTGGTTGGAATTGGTCTAATGTACCCTCTATCAGTGAGACAGACAATGGTACTGAAGTTGGAGAGGCTGGTAGTGATGGTGTTTATGAGCTTAGTACTTCAGCAGGATGTGCTAAAATGTGGAATGAGGTGGAAGTTGAAATGTTGAGATTATGGAAGAATAAGCAGTCTATATCCACTGCTTTGGCATGTAAGCAAGGTGCAAAGGAAGAGATTGGTATTTTTGTAAAAAGATTTTACAAATGTTGGAAGGATGAGGCAGGTTTGAAGTCTGGAGAGGATATGGATCTCCTTAAAATACAGTCATGCCTTGGTAATATGTTGCCACAGTATTCTTTGCTTGTGAAACAATTGATTTCAGACTGGGCCAATTTGGATGGCTCAGATTTTCTTACCAAGGTTATAGAAAAGGAAAATGCAGGTTGTTTTGACTTAAGGAAAGATTCAGGAAGTAAGGTTGCTTATTATGCTCAGGGATTGCAACATTGTCCACCTACACAGGCCCGAGAGAGAGGATGGGATGGAGCACATAGAGCCCGTGGAAGGGGTGGTCAAAGAGGTGCAAGGGGATGGAGACAGGGAAATCAGGGTTATAGGGGAAGGGGTAACCAAGGAGGAATAGACAGGAACACTTGTTTCAACTGTGGGCAGAATGGCCACTGGAGAAATGAGTGTCCACACCCCAGGAAACCCCAGCAGCCCCAACAACCCTACAATTCTCAAAATATGCCCGGTAGGCAAGAACAACACCAGGCCCACTCCCAACACCACTGGCCAGCACTCCCCCCTGCCCCCTCTCTCCAGCAAGCCCAAACTGCACTAGGGCCATTCACAGGTACCACTGACCAGCACACACATCACATCCCATGGCCCCAATAGGGATGCCTTGAAGGTGACACTCTAACTTTTCCACTTTTGTCCTCTACTAATGATGATCAGCCTTTTTGCATTCTGGTCATAGAAGGTAGATCCTTGCCATTTTTGGTAGATACTGGAGCTACGTGTTCCAGTCTCTGTGATACCTATTATCAGGGGACAAGGAAAAAGTCTACACCTTCATTGGGTATTAATGGAGTGTCAACACCCACTTTTGTCACACCACCACTGTCTGTTTTCTGTCCTCTTAATGGTTCTTCTACTATGCACCCTTTTCGTATAATACCTAAATGTCCTGTTAATTTGCTGGGAAGGGATCTTCTTGGTATTCTGGGAGCTACCATTACTTGCACGCCCTCTGGTGGTATTGATGTGTCTATGTTGTGTTCTGAAACTATTGATTTGTCTGCTGTTCCTTCCTCTGTGTGGGCTTCATCTAAGTTAGATGTAGGATTTGTCAACTGCACCCCTTACAAAGCCAAACTAAAACCAGCTGTAACTCCTATCTACCTTAAACAGTACCCCCTGTCAGAAGCCAAGGTTGAGGGAGTTCGCCCCATGATCCAATCTTTTCTAGAACAGGGAATACTAAAGCCAGTAGTTTCCCCATATAACACACCTATTAATCCAGTTCCTAAAGGTAATGGTTATCGCTTAGTTCAGGACTTTAGAGCCCTGAATAATTTAATTGTGCCCATTGCACCCATTGTCCCTGATGTGACATCCCTCATTACAGCCATTCCACATGATGCCACTTGCTTCACTGTCATTGATTTAAGTAATGCATTTTTTTTCTATACCTATTGATCAAGAGACACAGCTACTTATGGCTTTTACTTTTGAAGGCTGTCAGTATACCTGGACACGTTTACCCCAAGGCTATGTGGACTCCCCAGCTGTTTATTCGCTGGTACTCCAACATACTCTAAAAACATGGACCCCCGGTCATGGTTCCGTCCTTTTGCAATATGTTGATGATTTGTTGTTATGTAGCCCGAGCTATGAGGCAAGCACTGTGGATACTGTCAGTTTGCTCAGACACTTAGCAACTGTGGGTCACAAGGTTGCAAAACACAAAATGCAATTGTGTAAATCAAAGGTTGATTACTTAGGTTTTGTTCTGGCTTTAGGCACCAGACAATTGAGTCCAAAACGTATTGGGGTCATTCAGAGGATTCCTACACCCACTACTCGGGAGGAGTTGCTCACCTTCCTCGGCATGATTAATTACTGCCACCATGGATCCCTGAATGCTCCCATTATGACTCAATCCTAAGGGAGGCTGTACGTTCTGACAGCCCTGAAAATGTCTGCTGGTCACCAGACATGCTAGCTGCATATATTGCCCTTACAGTTGTTATTGTGCAAGCCCAGGCTTTAGGACTACCTGTGTATTGTAAACCATTTCATTTGTATGCTTGGGACAATTGTAAAAGCATGGCCGCGGTCTGTGCACAAGAGCAAGGAGGCGGTATGCGTCCCATAGCATTCTTTTCCAAAGTAGTTCGAGCTCCGGTACAGGGTATGCCGGCGTGTCTCAGAGCATTGATAGCATGTGCAATGGCTGTTGAAACTGCTACTACTATCACACTAGGGCATCCTACAGTACTCCATACCAGTCACCAGGTCACTCAGCTGATAAAAAATATCACCACACAACACATGACAGCCCAGCGTTTAAGTGGTTATGAGATTATTCTTCTTAACACCCAGAATCTGTCTATTGTGTATAGTCCTGTTAATTCTGGTCCTATGTCTGTTTTGCATGCTATTCTTACTTCTGCATCTGACTCTGTGTCTATACCATCTGAGCCTCATAATTGCATTGAACAAATACATATTGCCACATCTCCCAGAGCAGACCTCTCCTCCACAGCACTCAGTGGCCCGGATGTGACCACTGTCTTTGTGGATGGCTCTTGCTCCAGACCAAATGACGGTACGTACCTCACAGGCTATGCTGTGGTACAGCTACCTGATAAAATCATTGAAGCTGACACTATTTTCCAGCCGTCTGCACAAGCTGCAGAACTCATTGCTCTCACACGTGCCTGTCAGCTTTTCTCAGGACAGCGAGTGAACATTTACACAGACTCACGATATGCTCATGGGGTAGTGCATGATTTTGGTGTGATCTGGAAACAAAGAGGTTTTGTAGGAGCCGATGGAAAAGCCATTTCACACACAAATCTCATCCAATCACTCCTAGATGCTATCATACTACCATCTGAAGTAGCTATTATCCACTGCAAGGCACACACTCTTGGTAGTGATGACATTTCAAGAGGAAATGCCTTGGCTGACAAAGTAGCAAAAGAAGCTGCAGCCAAGATTGTTTACTTTAAAATGTTTCCTGCTATGCTTAAACCACCCACATGCCCTACTGACAGTTTGCTTTTGCAGCTTCAAGCCTTTGCAACGCAATCTGACTTGGATTTTTGGATTAAACAAGGTTTAGAAAAAGATCAGAATGATCTTTTCTCTAAAGAGGGGAAGATTGGCATACCTGAAGCAAGTTGTTTTATTTTCATCAGTCAGGCACATGGTCCTGGCCATAAAAGCATAGCAAGTACCATCCAATTCCTCATGAATTCATTTTATATTAGGAATCTTAGGCAGCATGTACAGTCTTTTGTAAGATCATGTGAACCATGTATGAGAACACATCCAAATATTCCACACAAATCACAGCATGAACATTTGCCCCCTCCAGCTGCTCCTTTTACACACTTACAGATTGATTTTACTCACGTACCCAAAATTGGTAAGAAACAGCAATACTTACTGGTCATAGTTGATCAGTTTAGTAGATGGCCCGAAGCCTTTGTGACATCCAGGGAAGATGCTAGGACTGTAGTGAAGATTCTTGCTACTGAAATTATTCCCAGGTATGGCTGCCCTCTGCAGATTAACTCTGATAATGGCCCGGCTTTTGCCAGTAAGGTTACCCAGGAACTTGCTAAATTCTTGCAAGTTACCTGGAAGTTTCATATACCCTATCATCCACAGAGTTCAGGGGTAGATGAAAGGATGAATAGGACCATTAAGGAGAAGCTTATGAAAGCTACTGCAGGAACATGGGTAAATTGGACAAAATATCTACCAGCTATTTTAGCTGAGATAAGAATGACTCCCCACAAGGTGACTAAATTATCTCCATTTGAGATTCTGATGGGACGACCTTTTCCCACACCCTGGGCCAGGGAACCGCTTGTTATAATGTCTGGGGATTTACAGCTAATACAAGAACAATATGTACAGGAATTGTTGATGAAACTGAATGGTATATATGGCAATGTTTCTTCGCAGTTTCCCTTACCTTCACAGGAACCTACTCATCCATACCAGCCCGGTGACAAGGTGTATATCCGTCAGCTGAACAGGACCAAGAAAGGAGGATACCCTTTCGGACCACCTGCTACTGTGATTGCTGTAACCAGAACCGCTGTCCTCACAGATTCCCACGACATCTGGATTCATGCATCCCGAGTGAAGCTGTGTCCAAAGAGGGGAACCAAGGAAGACAACACCACTCCTCGCTCGGAAACAGAAGAATTTCTCCTCAGCGAAGCATCATGGCTTTTACACCATATTGTAGATTGAGAGGATCATACATACCTGAGACCAAGATTATGTTGTGTGCTATGCTTTCTGGAGTTGTTATACTCCCTCTGATATTGTTCCTTGAATGCCATTATGAGTACAAGTCAATGGCAAGTTCTGGAAAAAGACTCTGACATGATGAACAATTCTTCAATACCCCCAGCCCAATTAGGCCTTAGCCCCTCATCTAGCATTCGTCACACACGCCCCCTCAAGAACTTTTCTCCACCACCTTTTTATCAGCATGTAATATGCAATCATTCATTCACTGAACGCATTTGGATGAATTGGACAAACAATAACCCTTATAAGTATCAATTACTCATATGGAATGTGTCCACAGCTAATGAAACCGATGCATTATGTTTGTTTGAAGGTTCACGGAAAATTGTTAGATCTTATAACACAGAAATGTGCACAGTTAAGGTTGCTAATTACACTGGTATCTGTGCCACCTTATTTAATATAAGTTCTGATGGTAAGAGAAAACCACCTAAACAGGTTTGGGATATATATTATAAGAAAATTAGTAAGGTTGCATATCAATGTAAACAAACAGGCCTTATTACTTTTAATAATGATTATACAACTGGTACCATTAATTGAAAAAAGGGACAAATGTTAGTCATTATGAATGACACTGCAATTGAGAACTATACACTACCTTATATTTTTACACCTTATTACTGTCCTTTATCCTCTAACATAGAACCAAAAGTCAACAACGACACACACACACCTATTCCATCCACATGTGTTAATACAACTGTCTTCTTACAAGCTGTACATGTGTCATTAAAAATCACTACTCCTGTTGTAACATTATGTAACACAGCAAACAAAAGGCAGAAAAGGGAATGGTATGACACACTGTTAGGAGGTGCTGGAACCACTATGGGTATACTAAATAGTATAGACATGGAGACCCTCAAGAATAAGTTAAACACAGCCAGTATGCATATAGGGACTGGTTTTCATGCTACTGCAAACTGGGCTCCAACTGTTGTTAAATCACAGGTTACAGGATTGGATTTAGATAAATCAATGTATAATTATTTAGATAATTTAACTGTTGCAACTATGAAATTCACAACAGGTCTAAGTAATTGGAGTACTTGTGCCATCAGGTATTTATGGATGCAACACCAAAGATCGGCATTAGAAGACATACTAATGATTCCTAAATTAGAGAAGATTAGAGGAATGCTTAACCTCACAGATAATGAATGGTTACTTCTGAAACCCCAATCCACTAAATGCAATGAATGGTTAACTGGTACTGTATCACATTTTTCATGCTCATGCTATTTTACATTATATCATACAACATCAAAGGATGTTAAATTAGCTTGTCAATTTAACACATTACCAGTACCAGTTTATGATCTCTTTGCCAAGAATTTAACCTGGTGGGCACCCACATACACAGGGGACTATATTTTTCCCAAAGATAATATGACCTATTCCCTTAAACACTGTGTTCTCACTGACAAAGGATATGCATGTCGACACTCGTCCTCTATTTACGAACCATGTTTACTCCAAAATGAACTTAACAAATGTATATGGCACATATATCCTGAAAATTATTTTACTATGACAGAAATAAGCACACGACATATCTGTTTAGCAACTAATCTCCCTACAAAGATAATTACTAGCACTACAAGTATTAATCTACCTCTCCCTTTTTCAGGATGTTTGACTAATATTACCTGGTTAGATCTTAATGGCACCCAATATTATTTCAGCAACACAATCACTTTAGACAAACATGTTAATGCCCTATTGGGCTCGCTGCCTTTTGAAGATTACCATTTACCTCTTGAGACTATTGTCTCCTTAATGAAAGGAAAACAAAATATGTTTAAACATCTTGTTACACATAATGATGCTCTAGTACACACACAGGTAGCCACACATATCCTAAAAGGAGAACTCCTTAAGGTGAGTTCACAGATTCAGAATGATTTAGCCCATCATTGGTACGATGCTTCACTGGTTGGTCTCCTACTGGATCCCAGATAATGAAATCATTCTTCTATCCTCTTGTTATTATAGTCCTGATTTTATTGTGTATGATTTTGTATAACTGCCATCTTACTTGTACACTGAGAAAGAGAATACAGAAATTAATCTATAATGCAGAACAGAAACAATTGGAAACTCTCCTCTCTGCCACTGGAGGCTATCAACCCATCTTTAAAACTGGGCCTTAGGAATTACCACATGGGAATCGAGGTGAAGAAATTAATGAAAGTCCCGCAGGGAGTGACTAGCACCCCTGAAAATACCATGTGGAAGTTTCTCTGTCCTGGTAAAATTTTATTGATAAGATGAGCAAATTAATTGCTCAAAGAGGGGGATGTAAGAAATATGAAATAGTTTCATTGTTTATATGTATTTTATGCTTTTATAAGGTTTATAACATGATTATTGCTGACTGAAGGGATATTGAATACTTAAAG